ACAATACACAGGTTAAGTACAAGATCAGACCCCTAATTACAGAGCGCAGAAAATGACAAGCTCAAAAACAAAACATAACAAAATACACTTGTTTGGATAGAATATGCCAATGAAGTTAAGATTCATGCCCCGAATGTGCAGACGGGCCTTGCTCCATTTCACAGCCACAGACTCTTAACCCAGGCCAGCCTCCTTACAGATGTGTGCTACGGGACAAAGGGGCCCAAGCAGGGTATTCGGAAAACCAACGCACAATGGAATTGGAAAAACAAGCAAAGAATATGACGTGTTCAGTTACCATCTTATTGTACGGGCATCTCGTGGTTTGAAAATAGCAATTCCAATAACGTGAAACCTTAAATCCCCTTTTTCAACATCACTGATGGTGACTTCTCAGAGGCAGCGTGTAGATTAATAGAGTCAATTTTATGCTTATAATGTGTAAAGGATGGTTCTTGTTTTGTTCATTACATCTATAATTAAACTTTAAAATTATGGCCATCCAAGTTTTTCCGTAAATCATAAATCAAAATGCGAATACTCAGAACTGGACTGTTACACCACTGACAAAGTCTAATTACATAATGGCCATCTTATAAACAAAACGAAAGCCCTCAGGGTATGTCATGAGGAGACATTGCCTTTTCTAGGCTGAAGTCACTTGGCATCAAACTCATTTTAAAAGGCTCCTAAGGTGTGGTAATACCTATGACTCATGAATTGTCCTTTCATTGCTGCTCTGATTACATGATTTCAGGATTAAATGAGCTATTAGATTCTGACTTCGTCTGTTTACTGCACAGAAATAGCGTTACGGTAAATACTGTGTTTATTAAGGCGAGTTAGTGGGATCCACTTCTCAGATATTACCACGAAGAGATAGGGAGAGGGAATCCAGTATTATTAAGTCAGTAGTTCCACTTACACATAGGCCGTGGTGAAGAGAAGGAAAGGTGGCTCTGTCCAAAACCCCAGCAATACAACCTGAGGCCACTGCAAAGCGGCAGGAACTCCTCAGAGGGGCTACCTCACCACCCTAACCAAACGGCGGAACAGAAGGTGCTCTCTATGCTTGAATGGAAGAGAGCACCGAGGCCCAGGCAGAGCAGGAGTAGAAGGCCAGAAGCCAGGTGGGCAAGAAGCCTGTTCAGAATGACAAGAGAAAATCAACAGGTGAACTCTGGCAATTGGTTACTTTCCCGAACTTTCATAAAATGAAATCGGTGAACTAGGAGGTCTGAAGCCTCCCTTTGAATTCCACAAGTCCGTGTTTTTATGCCTGGGGTCGCATGGGACATGTGCAGTGGCAAAGAGCACAGAGGTCAGCCCCACCTGGACCCCATCCCTGTTCCACATGGGAGTGGCAGGTCCCTCAGCCTCTCCAAGTCTCAGCATCCTCTGGAGCCTGGAAGCACAGAAGAGTGGCAGACAGGCGGCTCCCTTCTGGGAGAAGCCCCAAAGCAGATCAACACATCCACCTTCATTTTTTTCCTAAATAAGAGCATCTGGAATCAATTTAATGCTAAAATGTACATAAGAAGCATACATTTCCCTTACTACTCTCCACCACATGCTGTACGTGCCGCTTGGGATAAAATGTTCTCTCTTCTGAGTTTTTACTTTAGAGTGTATACTTAGCGGTATGCATTCCCATGGATGTTGGCAGAAGTCTGCCAAAACGTCCAGAATGCCAAAAGGAAGGCGAGTGTGCAGCACACATGCTGGAGAAGCAGAGACTCTGTAACCACTTGGAGTATCTTTCTTTGATCAAGACTCATGTTAAATGAAGATTATTCCAGGACTATGAGAAAAGTGCCAGAAAAGGGCCCCGTAGAAGAGTGAAAACTCAAGAGAATACCCAAGTGCGAAGCAAAACTGACCTTCAGCAACGCTGAAAAGTTGGAAACATTTGTGTTCAGTCATCTTCTCTTGCCTCTCCTTGCACAAAGTTTTTGCCTCTGTCTTCCCCTGCCCCACAGCTCCCCCCTTCCCCTTCCTCCACACCTAACTGGTGCCCCTCCAATGACATCACAGTCTCCAAAGCATCCCTCCCCAAACTCCAGTCCTTCTGGCCAGCTTTTAGAGAAGAAATAGCACTCCCATCACAATTTAATTCACACTAAATGTTAATATCTGATAAGGGCTGAACTCAGCCTTTCAGAGTGATTTGCATGTTAGAAAATATGTAAGCAGAAAAATGTCACATCGAAGGAAAAAATCTCCAATGATAGATTTTCAGGTCAACTGAACAGAACAGTTTGAGGAGTGAAGCCATTAGTTTTCAACTCTTCAAACAGGTCTTGATATCTGAGCCATAATCTGGTAGGAAACTGTGGCTACCATTAACTCTGCTTTTATTTCTCTATGCCAGCTGTTCAGCTTTGTTTTGGGGAATGGGATGTGCAGTTGAGAGGATATATTATTATGTAAAGTCTATATATTCATTTTTTGCTCTTATCTTTCCCATCAGTCTTCTGGTTTAGTCAACTATCAGTATACATTTGACATACAACAAAACATTTACTTTGCTTAAACTTACACCCAGGTTGGGCTACACAGAAGTGGACTAAATTTGTCATTTTTTAGGTTTGTATTCTTGTCAGTCCATTGCTCGGTAAAAGATATCCTTTGAAAAAATAGTACTCTCCACAAATCTGGACGAGTTAGTCTACTTTTCACTTTTGTTTTTTTGAGACAGGGTCTTGCTATGTTGTCCAGAGTGGTCTCAAACTTCTGGGCTCAAGCAATCCTTCTGTCTTAGTCTGGGACTACCATTGTGCCCATTGAACTGAACATTGAACTTTTACTGTTCACTCTTAACATCCTGTCTTTAGTTAGTCATAAAGTTGGCAGTGTTAATCTTAGCCCTAATGACATTTGGGGTCAGAAAATTTGTTGTTAGGGGTACTATCTGTGCATTGTAGGATGTTTAGCAGCATTGCTGGTCTCTACCCACTAGATGCCACTAGCACCCTCCCAGGTATGACAACCAAAAATGTCTCCTGGCATGGTCCCCTGGGGGGCAAAATCACCCCTATTTGAGAACCACTGAGTGAAAGTAAGATTACAAAAATGAAAATACAACCCACGGTGGGGTAGAAAAAATTAACACCTCTTTTTCCGTGAGTAGTAATGTGGTATGCAATTCAGAATTCTCCCCACTGGCTAGTCTCTATATAGTCTTATTCTAAGGCAAATAGAGTATCAAGAGCTTCAAAGAAAAAGTGATTCAGCAACTAACAGAGTCTGAAAAAGAGTGTTAGGGGAAGCCCCAAATATGAACCTAATCTGGAGGAGTGTTCTCTGGTCATAAAACATGCTTTTTTATTAACAGTTTTTGATACTAGAAAACAACAAAACTAATTGGGACATATATGCACCTTGCCCTAATCGGCTGAGCTAGCCTAGCAGACAACCCAGAATAAACTTCAATCGCAAAGATAATTTTGTGAAATCTACTCAAGTTACCAGAATAGAGAACTAGCATTAACCCATGTAATAGGTTACAAGCATCTTTTCAGCTTTATTGGATAAAGTGATTGATACATTTTTAAATTATGACAGGCCTGAAAAAATTAAAGACTTGTATCTTTCGCAGGTTGCTATGTTGGAAGCAATGAAGACCCAGCTAATATAAAAGTGCATCTCTCATCCCTCTGTCTACTCATGCTTGGTTGTAGAGCTTTCTCCTCTTCCTTCCTCTTCTGGAGTGAATGACGTTCCATGAGCATCCTTAGACAAAGATAGATTAGCACCCTAAAACAAAGACAGAACTATGGGAAGTGGAGCTCTGAACCCCTGTAGGTCTTTTCTCAGATCCTCCACCCAGAACCCACAAAGGAAGGAATGCCAGAACACGCCGATTCTAAAACACATGTTTACCTACACTTACAGAAGGAAAGCTTAAAATATATTCTGGTCCTGTCTCTCTCACTTCAAATTCCATCAGTGTTGTAAATCAGCCTATCTTATGCCCTTTGCTTCCCTCTTTTCTCCAGACCAGTAGTTCTCAAAAGTGTGGTCCCCAGATCAGCACCACTTGGCAACGTGTTAGAAAACGCGAATTTTCAGCCCCCAGTCCAGACTTAGGGACCCATAAACTCTGGTGGATAGGATCCAGCAATCTGTATTATAACAAACCTTCCAGGTGATTCTGATGCACCTCTAAAGTTTGAACCACTGATTTAGGCCAATGTTATTTCTAGAACCACAAATATTGTTTTTGTTTTTGTTTTTTTTTTTTTTACAGAAAGCAAAACTGTAATTCTCATTTCACCCTCAAACCTGGTGCAAGGCAGATATTATTTCCACTTTAGGGATGAAGAAACCGGCTCTGGGGTTAAGCGTCGCTCAAGGTCCCAAAGCTAATAACTTCAGGTGGAAGACTAAGGTTTTTGCACTCGTTTTTACCATGAAACAAAAGTCTGACCCACTTTATTAACAAAGTCTGAGCTTTTTTTGGTTTCTGTTTGTTTTTGCTCTTTCAGCTTTAGTCAATTCGGAAAAAAAGAGAATTTTTTCTATATTTTTGGGTGAGAATAGTGTGCCACACGCCTCGGGTCCTACCGAGTCGGAATTTAAGGGCAGGGCTCTGGAAAGTTATTTTTTCCGAGAGCGTTTCGTTGTGCTGCGGTCCCTCGCGTCTTCGTCCCAGGGACAGCACGCACGGGACAGCTGCGGTCGGAACGCACAGGGGGACGCGGGCCGCCGCCGGGCAACCCCAACGCGGCAGGTCGTCTGCGCCCAGGGAGCCCGCCGGGGGCCCGCTGCGGCTCCGGGCCCAGGGCGCTGGTTCCCGGGGGAAACCCGCGCAGCCCACAGCCCGGGGGGGCGTCCAACCCGACACCGCAGCCCCGGGGAGGAGCGGGCGAGCGGTGAACCCGAAACCGCCGAGGGCCGCGCGGAGAGAAACCACACGAACCACCGGGGGAGTGAAGAGAAGCAGAGAGCGCGGAGGCTGGAAAGGAGGGGACGAAGGAGGAGCAGCGGGCGGCACTCACTGTGAGGGTCGCTCTTCTCCCGGACCCCGTCCACCCGGCCGTCGGGGTGGATGCGCAGGAAGAAGCCTCCGTTCTTGCAGTACAGCCGCTTAGGGTCCTTGAAGTGGCCGGGCGGGAAGGCGCTGCTGCCGCCGTCCTCGGGCAGGGCGGGCAGCGTGGTGATGCTCCCGGCTGCCATGGGCCCTCCGGGGCCCTGCCGGGGACCCCGAGCCGCGGGAGCCGCGCGGGGGGCCGCCGCCCCCCGGCCCCGGCCCCGGCCTCCGAGCCGCTCCGGGGCACGGCCCCGGCCCCGGCCCCCCAGCCTCCCGCCTGGCAGCGCGCGGCCCCGCCCGCGGGCCCCCAGCCTCGCGCCGCCGGCCCTAGCGCGCGGCGAGCCCGGCGCCCGGGAGCTGGGCGTAGCGCTGGGTGTCTCCGCCGCCGCCACTCTCGGGACAGCCGCCTCCGAAGCTGCAGCGCCCGGGATCCGGCTGCAACCGCGGGCACCGCGTCCGCTGGTCTGGCACCGGCCGGGCCGCGGCGTCACGTCTTCTACATCTCCACCCCCGACACCCACCAACCTCCCGGGCCCCCGGCTCTCCTCCCTCCCCGCGCACCGCCCCCTACTCGCTCGGGGTTTTCTGGGGCCGGCCTCGGAGTCGGGCGCTTCGGCCACAGCACGCAAGCGCGCGGCATAAGCCCCGGGGGGGGCCCGACCTCAGTCGGGGGCGGGGCGGGGGGCGCGCCGGGAAGCCGCGGCCCAGACCCAGAGGCTCGACCCCGCTTGTCCCCCAGAAGTCGCCCCCGCCTCACCCGGGGCCACCCAAACCACGTTTCGTCTTTCTCCCTCCACGCTGCGGAGCTTTTGCTGCGCAACCAGCCGTGAATCAACTTCTAAAAGTTTAATGCAACTTTCTCTCCCATTCTTTTTCCTCGCCAGAGTTTCAAAGCAGAGAAGCTGTTTCCACCCCCAAAATAGAAGGGTCAGAAGCCAGGAAGGATTCTGTGTCCGAATAGGCTTTAAAAATCTCTGTTCACCAAAAGACAAGGGGTACGCGTGGGACATAAACTGTTAAAATTAAAGGATAGAGGCTGAAGCAGTCTACCAACAAAAGGAGAGAAAGAGGCCAGAGAAGGGGCGCGGATTGGGTTGCTAAGAAGAAAAGGTTTCCTTTCACTGACCTAACTTGAATTGGACAACGTGGTGGAAAGATGAGGCTGGGCCTCGAAGCCTTATCTTAAAAGAAGCGTATTTATATCTTAACTCGGAGCCAGCATTGCCCTAGCTAAATTGTTAAGCATTTCTTGGAGGGAGAGTAATTTTCTAGAAATCCCCAACTATAAAATTGAAGTTAATTGCATTTTTGTAATTTTCAGTAGAATATGACAGGTGCTACAAATGATTAGCAAAATATCCGTCCAGAAGACTTGCATATATTGAGTGCCTACTATGTGCAAGGCATTAGTATGTGCTGTGGGGGATGCCAAATCAGGTGGGATCTACTCACACAGTGGGGCAGATAAGATGGGGAGCAGGGATAACACAAATACCAGTAGAAAGTAATAAGGCCATGGAAGAATAAGACTAAGTGCTGTGACATTTCATACACGGGGTAACTCACCTCAGGGAGACACAGGAAATCTTGGGGAAGCGTCCAGAATGAGGTGCAAAGACAGAAGTTCCTCTTTGTATTAATAGGAACATGTTTCGTTTCAAAAGGTCATTGGTTGAGTGCATTTGTTCTTAAGTATCCAAGAAAGCCCTAACACCTGAGGCATTTCTATGATGTTAAATAGGGAGTGTGAGTAAATTCTTTGAAGCTTCAAAACCAGGCACATTCTTCTTCCTTCTCTAGGCTCCCTATATGTTCTGTGGAGGAGGGAAAAAATATCTTTCCCTCACCCATCACTAGGTTCATGGCTGAGGTCCCTATAACAAAAGACAGATTAAACAAGAGAAAAACATACTAATTTATTTATATAAGTTTAACATGACACAGGAGTCTTCAGAAATGAAGACACAAAGTAACAGGGAAACCTGTGTGTTTTTTAGGCTAGGTTTGATGAAGTTGATGATCATGGAGATTGGACAAAGGTGTGTGATGTAATGGTAATAAACTGGGGGAACTTAGCAAGGCCTGTTCAGATTCTTCACTGTGTCCCTATGTCTTCGGAGATGAGAATGTTCCTTTCTTCCAGGTATAGGAAAGGCACCTCTGGAATCAGGGTTTTATAATCTGTCTCGGGAGAAGATCCAGGGAAAGTGAGAGTAATCTTGCTTCTGCTGTTTTCTCAAATGCCAACGTGCCATATTTTGGGGTAGCATGTCCTGAACCCCATCAGTTCTCTAACATCTCTCTCTTCATTGAAAATCCATCTGTTGAGACAAATAGCTCCCTTCCAGGCGCTCTCTGTAGGTGTCCTAGGAAATGCTTAGCACTACTGTAGCACTCACTTGAACTCTGTGTCGTAGAACTTGAGTATCCCAAGAGCAAGGAGATAAAATCTAAGTCATGATATTTTCAAACAACAGCATCCAGAATATATACTAGGTATATATCCAAGAAAATTTAAAACATATGTTCACACAAAAATACATATACCAATATTCCTAACAGCATTATTCATAATAACCAAAAAGAGGAAACAAGCCAAATGTCCATAAACTGATGAATGGATAAACAAATGTATATCCATACAATAGATGGAATGTTATTTGGCAGTAAAAAGAAATGAAGTACTGATACATGCTACAATCTGGACAAACCTTGAAAACGTCACACTCAGTGGAAGAAGCCAGACAGAAAAGGCCACATATTGTATGAATCTGTTTATATGAGCTGCCCAGGATAGGCAAATCTATAGAGCCAGAAAACAGCTTAGAGGTTGCCAGGGGCTGGGGAGAGGGGATTAGAGAGTGATTGCTAATGAGTATGGAATTTCTTTTTGGGGTGGTGAAAGAGTGGTATTAGATAGTGGTGATGGTTACACAACTTTGTGAACTGAAAAAAAGCATTGAATTGTACACTTTAAAATAGTGAATTTCATGGTTTTTAAATTATATCATCCAAAAAAGAGAAAGAAAAAAATAAATGTCAAAAAAATGAGATTTTTCTCCCATAAAGTTGGGAGAAAATAAAAGATATAGTATTATCTTGTGTTGCTAAGGATGAGGTCAACCAAAGACCTCATGAACTGCCAGAGGGAGGCTAAATTATTAAACATTATAGCATTTTGGGAGGACAGATTAAAAGAGTACAAGTCTGGCCGGGCCCAGTGGCTCATATCTGGGAGGCCGAGGCAGAAGGATCACTGGAGGTCAGGATTTCAAAACCAGCCTGAGCAAAAGTGAGACCCCCATCTCTACCAAAAATAGAAAATAATTAACCAGGGGTGGTGGTGCATGCCTATAGTCCTAGCTACTGGGAAGGCTGAGGCAGGAGGACTGCTTTAGCCCAGGAGTTTGAGGTTGCAGTGAGCTATGATGATGCCACTGCACTCCAGCCCAGGTGACAGAACCAGACTCTGTCTCAAAAAATAAAAATTAAAATAAAAAAGCTAATCTTCTAAATAAATAGAGAGATCTTAAATACTGTTGAGAAAAGGCCCATGGGCAAAGCAATAAGAACAGATAGTTCATAGACAAAGAAATATAAATGGATTTTGAACATATGAATAAAAGAAAATGCAAATTAAACCTAGAATGAGATCTATTGTTCTTCTAGTGAGATGGGCACTGTCAAAAAGTTTAATAAATATAGCATTACAGAATATGAAGAAATAGGTACTCTCACCGTTGGTGGGAGGTCAAATTGGCAGTAGGTTTCAATATTTGAGATAAGCATACCTTTAGATCCAGACATTTCCTTTCTAGAAATGTATCCTACAGACATATTCATACATGTGCACAAAGATGTATGAACATATGTACTTCAACTTTGCTTGAGGTCACAAAAGACTGGAAATAAACAATATAAATGGTTATCAATAGGGGCTTGTAAAAAGAAATTATAGTAGAGTCATTCATTTAATAAATATTTATCCAGAATCTAACATTACCAGCTATAGCTCTATAATGAAGTTTAAAAAATGAAGTATATTTATATGGTATAGCTATAGAATGATCTCCAAGATATACTGAAAAAGTGAAAAATATAAGATATACTACAATATGCATAATATGCTTCCATTTTTGAAGGGGAAACAGATGCACGCACACAGTCCATATCCTTGTGTAGACATAGAATATTTCAGAAATATCTGCCCCTAGGGAGAAAAACTAGGGACTTCTCTGGTCTGCAGCCAAAGGAAGACTTCTCACTGTACTGTTTTTGTACTACTTGATTTTTTTTGCCACATGCATGTATTATTTTTTTCTACTTAATTTATTTTAAAATTCACATAGAAAAATATATAAAAATTTGATAAGAAATGGCTCAAGAAAAAAGAGACAGTGCTTTTTTTTCATTTTGGGGGTTGGTCTAGAGGCACTCAGAGTGGTTCAGCATTTCAGATACGCTCCTAGGCTTCCCTACAATACAGGCTCTAACAGAAGTAGGCTGTCCTGAACTCTGGTAACAGAGCTGTTTACCTTTACACCAAGGAGTTTGAAAAAGCATCCACATCAGCATGTAGTTTGTGCCCAGGCTGATTTCAAGGGAGTTGCACTATGTAACCTGAAGTTCTTATGAAGTTGTCCAAAATGGAAAAAAACAAAAACAAACAAACAAAACCCGTGTCAGCAGAACCTACGGTGGTTCCATGTGTGTTAAATGTGCCTGGGACTGGATCGAGCTTTCCTTATCGAGGAGCAGAATTGTGAAAGTGTTGAAGGCACGGCAGAGTCAGAAAGCTAAACTAAAAAATCAAGCTTTTATGAGTAATAAGCAACATTTCAAAAAAAGAAAACTGAAGAAGAAAAAGAAAGAAAGAACAAAGGAAGGAGAGAGAGATAGAAAAAGGAAGGGAGGGAGGGAGGCAGGCAAGGAGGAAAGAAGGAAGAAGAGAAAGTAAATGCAAAGGGTCCAGAAAGTAAAGATGACATGTGTCACCTCTGGCTATGTTCTGTGGGACTCCAGGGCACGGCTCTCCGGTAACTTCTGCACTCCTATCTTATCCCTCCCGCTGGAAAAGTGGCTGCAGTTGCATGCTGGGAGAGGAGCTCTGTAAGAATCCCTTCATCCACTTTCGCCTTGCTCCTCCAAGTTGGACTGTAGGTATTTCAGTTTCAGTTCCAGTATTAGAGGCAAACCCGAAACACACACTGTACCAGAGCCCACTGCATGTGTACAGATGAGGGCCCAGACACGGTGCACACTGCGGTACCGGAGGTGACACAGAGAGGATTAGTGGGCCCATTTCTCAAATGTTCACAGGTGCACGCTTGGAATCCTCCAATGGGAACATGTTTTTGGTTTCTTCTTTTTAAATTATTTCTTTAAAATAAAGGGATATTTTTAAATACGAGCTTAAGGCTATTTTCCGTTTGCACATTTTTATTGACAATTTGAATTAGATTTGTTTTCATTCTTTTTTGTTATCAGCTTTTAATTAGTTAAGGAGCATATGAATACAATATCTTTGTTAAAACATTTAAAGTATTACAGAGAATGGTGACAGTATCCTCTGGACTCCACCCCCAAATCCTATCACTTCTCTTCTCCTCGGATGAAACTCAGTTTGGTGTGTATCATTTCAGATTTCTTTGTGCGTTTCTATACATATAGGTACCCATGGAGAAGAAAAAGTATTGTTTTGTGTGGCTGTGTGTGTTTCTACACATAAATGGTATCATATTGTCTTTATCTTTCAGCAACTTGCATTTCAATCAATACATATCTTAGAAGTTTTTCTACATTAATTAAGTATGGATCCACCTTGTTCATTTTAACTGCTGCAGAGTATTCCAGAATATAGTATATCCATACTACTTAGCCATTCCTGGACTGATGTACATGCAGGTTACACACGTGTCTTTGCAGTGACCACCTTTGGACTTGCCTCATGTGCGTGTATTTAAGTTATTCTCCAGAGTTTTTACTCAGTAACGGATTCACTGGGCCCCTG